ACTATTCTCACCTCGACTAACTAGGCTTCCTTCCAAAATTCCCCACCTAAGCGCTTCTTTTTGCTTTCTTCTACCAACTGTTAATATTACGTTTTTATTATTGTGCAACACCCATGTAACAGGTGACGTCGGTTTTGCACAATACTTAGATATGGAGAAGTTTTCCAACTACTAGTTCCTAGTGCCACAAACCTAAAGATAAATCTAGTGTGTGGCAACTGCATATAGCTGGCTAGCCTAGAAGGGCCGCAGTCTGTCAGAATTTCTTTTTATGCCGATTTGTATTGGATATGCCGTTTTCTAGGTTATGACATCGTTTGTTTATATTTGGCCACTTGTAGGCAGATGTATGCAATTACAATGATCTGTGACGCTCCCCTTAACTACTCCATATAGTCTAAAATCAAATTGCAACTTAGGATGAGATTAAACAGAACATAACCATGTGAGATCTACTCTCTACTTTGACGCTATAAGAGCACAATCTTTTGATCAATTATATTATTTATATTGTAAACATGTACGGTATAGATAAACGTAATAAATATTTTATGCAGAATTTATATTTATTGCGATTATTTATTATAAAATGGTGAATTTTCTATAGATGTTTCCTACCTCATGTCTCTGATGTAATATGTACAATATTCACATAATTATTTGATTAAAATAACTCAACTGCTTTTACAACCTCAATGTCAATATAAATCAGTTATGCTGAAGAAAGAAAATTTATTGTAAGTAAAAGCTACCTATGTATCAGTATGTACACAGACAATATAGCTTATAGCCTCAGACCACGCTTTAAATGCTGGAAATTGGCAACCTAATAAGGATGCAGGGTCTTGCTAGCCGGCATCCAACTATAAAATTTAGCGTGGTATCTCTTCTACTCAGTAATAAAGGCAGTTCTAGCGGTGGCTTTGTTGCCAAATAATAACTGCCAAATAAATTTAATGCATTTAATTATGTAATTGAAGAGTTATATGGAACTTATCTTTTGTTTGGAAATGACATTAGTGTTAAATGCTAAATAAAATAAAGCAAGTTAGAATTAAAACTATGAATTTACCAAATTATTTAAATAATTCAAAGAAATTAAAAAATGTAACATTTCCTTAAGAATAGTACCTTAATTTTTTATTTAATAAAATCCTCAAGAGGTGGGTGATATGAAATTTACTTAAAAGAACAACAAATCATCAATTAATGAGATCGCTACTGCTGTTGCAATTATTGACTAACTTTTTTGTTCTTCGACAGACGGACTTCGGACCTTTTCCTTTCAACTCACAACCTGGGGTGTGGATTTTTTTAATTATTTTTTTAATTCAACGCATCGTTTAGGAGTTATACGGCCTTTTTACTATATGACATCACACACCTCTTGTTTCCAAAATTTATTTTCGACATACGGACTTCGGATCTTTTGCATTCAACGCAGAACGGACAATCAGAACCACGGGTTAGGGGAGATTTTGTTAATTATTTATTTTTCGGTTCAACGCACCGTTTCCGAGTTATAAGATCTTTTTTATTGTATCACCTCACACACCTCTTGTTTCCAAAATTTATTTTTAGCATATGGACTTCGGACCATTTGTAAAAGGGACATATAGAACCAGGGGCGAAGCAAATAAGACCTATGCCTCATTTCTGTTGGTTTCAGCATCAATATTGACCTTCAAACTTACGAAATAACCTTGTACGCATATTTCATGTTTCTAACAATGTTAAAACCAATTCTGAAACTAAATTCAATTCATCGAAACGAGTTTCCTGTTGGTTAGTACCTTAAACAATAAATAAAATTCCATATTCTTATTTCAGCTTTACACTCACGACACATGTGATCTAAAATTATTTATACATATCACCAAAATTTGAAAAGCAAATAAGTTTTGTTCAGCCCTATATGACTGCATATCGTAAATGCTATCTATACAAAATTATATTGTATTTTCGTACACTTAAAATTGCAGAACCTATAGTATTTTCCAGAAGCTTCCAGAAAAACAATCATAAATGCTGACAGAAGATGGGGGAAACGAAACAGATAACATTGAAGTAGTTAATCAATTGGAGCTTGACGAACATTTTGTTTCATCTCTTTCGACATCTAATGTCGAGTTCAATATACCACTTCTAGTTATGACCACAACAAATACCAAAAAGAAAGAAAACTCTTAATCCCATCTGAGAAATGGTACAAATTATGAGCTGTAACAGCTTAAGAATAAATTTTCAAATAATTTAAGCGAATTTAGACGATGTTTTAGTTAAGCAAAGTGTTTATTTGTACCTGTATTAGAAGCAGAAATGCATCAAATTCAAGAACAGACACAAACATATATATTTCCGTCTACATAAAATCCAATCTTAACACCAAATCAATCAACCCTACGTGCTCAAACACATCTATCTATCCATCTCCAGTTGCCTAATTATTATATGAAAAGCAAAATACTTTTCTTGAGTTCAATTATTATCTTTGTGGACCCAATATTTTCTCCGCCGTTTGTGATTTAATATAATTACTGTAGCTACATAAGTCTCTAAAAATTTGGTGTCAAAACTGCTTCCTATCTCTATATTATACACGAAGTAAGTTACTAACACTGTTTTTCTTTAATATCAAATAAAAATTTGACGCGTGTTGGTACAGCCTTGATAAATGATTACAAGGCACGTGATCGCTGGGCTTAGGCAACCAACATTGCACGGCTGGTACAGCATCTAAAAATCTCTAAATCTTAGCGTTATTAATATTAATGATTCGTTTACAATGAATAATAAATTACGTTTACGCTCGAGATAAGGTGATCGCTGAATGGTTGAATAAAATCTAGTGAAAACAGAATGTTGTGTTTTAATGTAATTTTGATCTTACTATTTTAATAATTTTTAATTTTACCGATATTTAATTGCCAACGAGAAGGAAATAAAATTACTGTTCCATACAAAATTACTGATCACGTGCCTTGTAATCATTATCAGCAAAGTATAGGCAACAGATTTATCGGCTGTTAGGCGTCAATTATTATTATTAGTACAAGTTTACCCAGAAAAAATATATACCCATTTATTAAAACCTATTTTATTTCAAATTATTTTAAGGTTTAAGATTTATCATGTTTCTTCAGAATAAATAGTAAATTCCTTTATAACAAGATCTGAATAAAATATTCGCTCTACGCCTTGGTATTGATCTTTCATCACTCATCGCCTGCACATTGTATCCTGTCAGATAAACACAATGCAGACTCGATAAATATAGGTAAAGGTCAAGAGTCAAAAAGTACGAGTATATATTTTACAGACATTGAGTTTGCACATTTTTGTCTTGTAACGTTACATTGTTTGATGTAATTGTTTGATTTTTGATTTATTGTATCATTTTCTACTCGATATCTTACATTGTCACCGATGCTAACATATATCATTACGTCTATCTACTTTAAAAAGAAGGCAAACAAAAATGTTGGAAGCCGAACATTTTTCTTTAATTTTTAAAGTTCTTTTTACATATTTTAATGCGCTAATTAACCTTCCTGGCTCTCCGTAATCGAGTTATTTGAGAAAAATCTCCGAAAAAATACGAAAAATACGAATGAAGTAATTTATTTGGACAAGTCACATTCCAATGAACTTTGACTCCGAGCACTGCTGTTGTCCCAGCTTTTATGGTTCCCTAAAAAGTTTTGAGCGACGTTGTAAAAACTCAGCCCAGCTGCTCTCTCAATATCTGTCACTGTAATAAAATTTTCATTGTAAAATATTTGTCGGATTTGAAGTCCGTCAAAGGTCCGATTTTATCCAAAACCTTGACAAATTGTTTCATTAAACCAAGTTTATTGTGGAGCAAAGGAAGCAGCATTTTTGAAGGGTCGACCAAAGGTTGTGTGAACATTGTGACTTCCTGGATTGACCGCTCTTTTGTTGGTCATTGTTTCTTCATGTAGTGATTATTTCGATCTCGACTATCCCATAGACACAATAAGAAGCAGGGATACTTGGTAAATGCTGACTACTGCTTCAAAATACATATTTAATTTTCTGCAAAACGCATGTCATGTTTTCATAACTTTATTTTAATATGGTTAAGCATGCAATGGAAATGGAGGTGAAACTGTAACAGAAGGATATGAGGACGAATTCGTACCGGCAGATCCATTTAATCAGGAAGATTTTAATGATACGATTAGAAAAATAGGGATTATAAAAGATGTGACTGAATTTTTGGCTAAGGAAATAAAGAGTTCCTGGTACTGCCAGTACCAGGAACGACATCAACTTTTTACGGGGACAAAAAAGAGGTTACGAAAGTTGTTTAATAAAGAAGACAAAGGCTCTTTGATATATTGTACAAATGATTTGATGAATAAATTGAAAACTAAAGTTTACAAATTCGAAGAGTGGAAATTCATACTTTTCGAAATAAAGCTTAAAAGCGATACTACTACACAATGGAAATAAATACATCTGTATTTCCATTACACTCTCAACTACATTAAAAGAAAGTTATGAAAATGTGACACGGGTTCTATAGAAAATTAAATATGATAAGTTAGTGGTGATTTAAAACTCATATGATTCTAGGGCAGCAGTTAGGATTTACCAAATATTCCCACTTCTTGCGTCCGTGGATAGTCGAGAATGAAGCAATTACTACAAAAAGAAACAATAACCAACAAAAAAATCACTCAGGCCAGAAAATTACCCTTCAAAAATATTGCTTATTCCGCTCTATATAAACTTGGACTGAAGAAGAAAGTCAAGATATTGAGCCAATTTTAGAGAAATACTCAACTTTTGTAAATGAACAGATAAAACTAATGGATTCGGTTTCAGAGCCTTAAATTGCATCTAGATAGCCTAGTGACTACAGGCCAGCCCTCTTTTTTTTATTTGTGTACCTGTGTTATAAATGATTTAATTTCTTGCTTATTTTTTTTTTATTGAAACAAAATAAAAGTAACATTTATATCTGCATTTTCTAGAGGTGCATCCCAGAGTTTGAAAACGCAGCATTTAATGTGCTAATGGAAGCAACAAACACCTGCGGTGACAGTAATAATGGAACGGAGTATTGTGTACAAGCAGGTGATTCCAAAATTAGAAAATCCTGTGACATTTGTTATCCTAATGAACATCACGCTGGGTATCTTACCGATTTTCATCAGAGAGAAAATCCTACGTGGTGGCAATCTGAGACAATGCTGGAGGGGATTCAATGGCCTAATGAAGTAAATCTAACATTAAGATTCGGTAAGCTCTTAAATATTCTTAAAAGTATTATGTGTCTGTGACGATGAATGAAAACGTTTAGTTTAGTTAACGTACATTCTGTATTTCCAAAGTTGCTAATGAAATCGTACGTTGCTTACTAGTAAAAATATTGAATATTTCAAGTTTCTTTAGACAGAAACATTTACTGAAATTGTTTAGAACTACATTTACTTAGTTTCTCTCGCAGTCACTCTCATACGTAAAAAAATAGTATGTATTTTGAAAGCTTTTCAAAAGTAGTTTTTACAAATCTATTTAAATTTTGATATTACCATTCAAAATAGTATAATTTACAGTATAGTAAAAAAAAAGGAATTATAAATAAATAATCAATACAATAACAATAGTGATGCAATCAATGTTGCAATCAAATAAATAAATAAATGTATATAAATACTTACATCTTCCCTTTAAGATAATATTAAACATCATACAGCTAACACCCAAAATGAAGCTAACTGCTTGAACACTTGAAGATATTGCATAATTATTATAGTCGTTAGATTTGTTTTCCACTGCCACTGAAGCCAATACATTGAAAAAAACCCTTGACTAATTCTTTTGGTGTAAAAGATTATTGTTATATATCTTTTAAAGTATTTATTTATATATTAGGATTGACTATACAGTGTGGAACAGTCAGATAGAATAAATTCAGTATCTTAATTATTGTGCATACTGCATATGTATAAAAAATTCCGAGACACGTTTAAAAATAAATTCATCTGCTTGAGCAAACTTTAGAAAAAAATAGTTTCAACGTAAGGTAGCAACCTAATCGTGAATAAAAATATCTTCTAATATTTTCCAACATCTGAGGCCTACACGCAACCGTTGTTTTTCTTCTCAAATCAGTTATGTCGCGTGACTTACAATTAGTTTTGTTTACCTTACTTTTCACATATGCCCATAGAAAGCAATCTAAGAGTGTAAGATCAGGAGAACGTGCTGGCTAGTCCAGCGTTCCTCGTCTCCTTATTCACCGATTTGGAAATGTTAAGTCGAGGTATTGCCGGACATTGATTCGGTAATGTTCCATCCTGCTGGAACCGTATAACATCGGATGGAACTTGCTTGAGCATAGTGCATCATAAATTTGCCAAAGTTAGTACGACAATATTGCCATTAATGAAAAAGGAACCCAAATATTAACCTTTTCGGGATTTCGCGTATGTAACTCGCTCATCCAGTGAGAATTTTCATTAGCCCAGCAGCGAAAGTTTTGACGATTAACATGGCCGTGAAAAGTAAAAGTGGACTCATCATAAAACAAAACATTTTCTATTTGGATATTATACAGGGTGATTCATTAACAATGGGAAAGTCGAAAGCTGAAGATACTACACGAGAAATGGTGACCATTGGCGCAAACATGCCTTATCCGAAAGTTGATAGTTTCGGAAATACAGGGTGTTGAAAGTTAAAATTTTAAATCGTTTTTTTGCGATTATTCTGAAAATATGTAGGTTAGGAACTTGAAAATTTGTGAAACTATATTTTTTTAGGCGACGAATAAGATGCGTGTTGTAATTTCAGCATTGCTCATAGAGGGCGCCACTTACGACCAATTTTACCGAAAATTTAGTTAATAACTTTTTACCCTGTATGTCTAACATGAAACTTGATTCAAAACCTGAAAGAGCAATCATTTTTCCATTAATTGTGTATTCTTGTTTCATTTCGGTATCTCGATCCGTTTTCGAGAAAAATCGATTTAACGAACACTATGTTTTGATAATATGAGAAATTAAAAACGAAACAAACCAAGTGTTTCTTCGTGTTATTACAACCATTAACAATAAAACAAAAATAAAATAAAAAAAATAAATAAAATTAACTTTATATCGCAAAGTGGAAAGCGAAAATATAAATCTGTACGTTGTCCCTTCACTATCAAATTTGATAAGAGCTTATGCCCACGTGGCAATAAATCTAATAAATGACTATAATAAGTTTAATGCCAGAATTTATGAGCGACAGCGTGTTTTTCTTTATGATTTACTGCTTTATTAAGATCACCGACATATTTATAACCTAGTTTTATTCACTACTTCTAAAATTAGACCATGACTGGACTTTTTAAATATTCCATTAATAATTCTGTTAAATTTTTTATGACAGGAAGGACTGCTTATTTATAACTCATCTTCGGAATTTATTTTGAATTTCAGGAAAAGCATTTGATATCACTTACGTCAGGCTTTGGTTTTGGTCACCTAGGCCAGAAAGTTTTTGTATTTCGAAGAAGACAACGGAAAACGGTCCATGGATACCTTATCAGTATTACAGGTACTTATAAAATTATGGGTAGATACTGTTGTAGAACACAATTACTGATATATAGGCCGATTCAAAATTCAGCACAAAGAATTTTGGGCCCTATTTTTGGGTTCAAAATAAATTTTAAAATTTTTCACCTTAAATAGTTATAAAATTTTAAAATATGCTGTGCATTTAACTCTTCATCAGTCAGTACCTCGGAAACGGTTGGCCTGAGAGATTTCGACCAAGTATACCTTCTAACGCACTAATACGAAACATCAATGTACAGGGTGGCAACAAAGTTAGGGTTAATTTAATTCAAGCGTCTAAAGCAATGACATATTTAAATTTAGCATCCTAAAAAACCGCCGTACCCCAAGTTTTATGCAAACATTCAAATCTATTTGAAAATTATTCCTAGAAAATCGAAAAAATAAAAAACTTACTATATATCGAAAACAAAGCATTTGCGGATCCACGTTTATAGAAAAAAAGTTTTATTTTGACCTCAAAAATAGGCCACTAAATTCTTTGTACTGAATTTTGAATCGGCATGTACATATTTTCACATTTCAATTTTATAAATAACAAATGAATTGTTATGCAAAGTGTGATTAATTGGGCAGTGGTTGGGGACTGACAAATATTTGTAAATTTATCAAATTGACTGGGTACTATCCATAATACAGCAGGTGAGGAATTATCCGACTCTCTTTGTTCAGTCAGATAAGTAAAAAAATATTATTAACGTGCTGTACAAAAAAAGGGAGCAATTTATTACACTGGCTGAATTTTAATAACGGCTCCCGGTCATTCTAATAAATGCATGAATATCTATCACTTCATTCAAATGCTCTAGTCTTTATAACTTTATACATAATGCATAATGCAAGACATACACATCTTGGATTAAGGACGTACCCTGAGAATCGACCTGCACTCTTGGTTGCCTATTTTCCATTAAAACAGATTATTATTCCAATATATCTTCTTCAGTGGAAATAAGTATGAGGCACATCCACAAAGTAAGAGTTGACACCCAATTTTTTAAAAATAGAAACGGTAGTATATTTATAACAAAATTATGTATTCAGATAGGTATATCAAACACTATTTTTCGACCTAGGGATGAGGTTCCTGACACCTTCGTAAAAAAAATCTTCCGCCGACTCTTGAGCCTATTGTTTCACGGCACCTCATCGTTCTGTGACAATTATTTGATTCTTAATTATTTTTAATTATAAAAATACATTTATTCATTATAAAAAATACATGTTTTCAAAAAAATATTATAGTAGATATCTTTACAATTTTAATTTTTCTTATTTATTTTTTTAATTTCCATTATCTTCATCTAATATTTCCAGTTCCGAAGAAAATATGTCATTTGCAGAATATTTTTCATTATTCGTGCAATTAATGCCTACACAATTTTTGCACGCGATGCTGCAGTTCAATCCGTGCTTCTTACATCCACACGAAGTTCCGCAATCGGTTTTGCACCCACAGAAAATCATATTCATGATACTTGGTTGACCAGATAACTGTGTCATTTTTATGGGTTTGGTCTTTTAGTTCCCATCCCCAGTCTGTTGGATTCAAACCATTTTTGTCTCTATATAGCCAGTTTTGCACTTGAAAGTATACTATTCAAGAAAAAAACACGTGTGCGCTATAACTTGGAGCGTATCCATATACAGGGTGTTTATTAATTGAATGCCGATACTTAAGGGTGTGAATTCTTAGGTCATTTTAAGAAGAAAACTTAATATCAACATATGGCCTAAACCTCTTAATTTTTGAGCTACAGGGTGTTACAGTTTTAAGAAAAAATTTACTTTTTTATTATAATTTTCTTATCACTCCAGATATTTTTATGAAATTTTGTACATACCTAATTAATATTTAATTATTTAATATAAGGGCAATAATAATAAGGGCAATAATAATAATAAGGCCAATAATATTTAATATAAGGGCATTTAATAAGCTTACCGGTTTTTCTATCCAAACATTTAATATTATGCCNATTATGACACTTTACCCAGCCTACTAATTTTTATTTCATTTGCTTTAAGGGGGCATTTAATGAGCTTACCGTTTTTTCTATCCAAACATTTAATATTATGCCTACGTGAACGTCATTTGTGAAAGTAGAAAATTAATTTTTGCCCCACAAAAAGTGTTTCCACGCATGGTGGGTGTCTACAAAATGGCAACAAAATATCAAAAGCAGTCTCAATGAACTTGGGGAAAAAACTTTTTTTGGTTTTCATTTTTTTACGTGCAAATGGTGCGTCGTACGAGAGTAAGTCTAGGGACCGAATTTGCTGTAAAATAAATGGAGATTTTAAAAATAATTTTAGTTTTTAGAAAAAGCAGTGGCGTACCATTTTTTTCTTCAAAAATGTTTAGTTCAAACCTCGTACGGACGTCATTGGCAAAGATTTTAAAACATTTTTTACATCAAACAATGCTCCTTAATGATTAATAGGTGTGTACAAAATTTCATAAAAATATCTGGAGTGATAAGAAAATTATAATAAAAAAGTAAATTTTTTCTTAAAACTGTAACACCTTGTAGCTCAAAAATTAAGAGGTTTAGGACATACGTTGATATTAAGTTTTCTTCTTAAAATGACCCAAGGATTCACACCCTTAAGTATCGGCATTTAATTAATAAACACCCTGTATACTAGTATGTGTAAGAGTATATATTAGTAGGTACCTAGTGCCCAGGATGGCTGATTTCTGTGACAACTATTTTATTCTTAATTATTTTTTATTACAAAAATACATTTATTCATTCCAAAAAATACATCCGTATATATATATATATGTGTAAGAGTATATATTGGTATATATGTAAGAGTAAAACGTGGTAGCAGCGGCCCGTGATGGCAGTCCTTACCTAAAATTTTATCAATGCTACCAACTGTATTAAAAGCGCCAAATTAAAAAAAAATGTTTTGGATAATTTATTTAGATATTCGATAAAGCTTATGAAGATGACATCGGTACCTCGGAGACCATTACAGTTGTGATATTCGTCTTGAGCAACCCTAAAATCCCCAAGGTAACGAGTTTCGGCTAAGTTTATAACGAATTTCCACAAAATTCCAGGAGACGACGTGGAAACCGGCCACCCTGGGCACTAGCTATCTCGGAGACCGTTGCCGTCGTGATATTCGTATTCAGCGACCCTAAAAAACCACGAGTAGCAAAATTGAACTCATTTCCGTCAATATTTTCCAAGTTATAAATTTTTCATTTTTTTACTCTTCGAGATGAAATTTTAAAAATGCATTTTTCTTATGTACTGATTCCTCACTGACTCATTTCTCATTGATCACATAGGGTCACAAACTTTCTGGACGCACAGATTTCGGAGGTAAGGCCGTTTTTTGTGTTTTAATTCCTCGACTAGTATCGCGCAGCATTAATTGTACAAGTATATGAGCTTGTACCATCCCGCGTTTTCACATGACATCTTCCAAAAACGCTATATGTTTTATAATACTCTTAACACATCCGAACTTTGTTCGTTCTTATGCTTCTCGAATAATAAAAATAAAATAGTAGTACAATTTTTACTATAAACGTATTTTATATAGCGACGTTTACACGAACATTGTGATAATCTGTTCGACAAAATGGGGTTTCAATTTCTAATCTTAATAACAGGAAAATTATTATTCGACAAACTGTTTTAATGGATGTAGTTGCGGAAAAAGTTCACTGTTAGATGGTCTTGTAATATGTTTCAATAAAACAAATTCGACAACTATTCAATTTTAATTTCTACTGAAGTTTTACATGATATGCAACCAATAATACGCATTCTTATTCTGTTGCAGCGCTACTTGTCGAGACACGTATGGACTTCCAGATATGATTCACACAGTAAGAGGTGAAGAAACTAGGGCTTTGTGTACTTCGGAATATTCGGATATATCTCCATTAAGAGGCGGTAATGTAGCATTCGGAACACTTGAAGGTCGCCCATCGGCATACAATTTTGACAGCAGTCCAGATCTACAGGTAAATTAGCAAATTATGTTTTATTTTTTAAAGTATAAATAGACCCTTACCAACATTTGATTGATGTTAGTTTTACGCCTTTAGTATACAATATTCGTATTCCAAAAAAACGAAGTAAATAGTTGGATAAGCTTGTACTATAGTCCGCGGTCGAAATTATAGAGAGTGACTAAGACATAATATAAAAACACTATTATCATAATGCGTATAAAATATAAAATGATTTTTATACGGTTCAATATTATTTATCTTTGTGCCGCTCGCTTCGCACATCGATAGAATCTATAATCGTCTAGAGACCGAGTTACACTGAACGTCGATCTATCTCCGTCTTTTGCACTTGGTAGGGAATAGGGAAATGCTTTTTTAGTGGGTGTAAACGGACTTGATTTAACCCGTCCTGAGACACGTCATAGCATAAGAGTAGACAAGGGGTCTAATTCCATGGCTATAATAAATTTATAAATTAAAAAACACAATTGGGACGTTTCAAAATGCTTTAATAATTAAAATGGATCAAAGTGCCTGTTATAGCAAACCGTAAAAAAATATTAGATGTTTTGTTTTATTATCTTTTTTCATTATTTTCTATATCTTGTTGCCTTTTACGCAGACACGCCAATGGATTTTCGTTCCCGGCACGCTTCATCCCCCTTACTAGTCCAAAACCTAGCGATGAGTCACTCTCTATAATTTCTACCGCGGAGTATAGTTAGATTAAGGCCTTAGTATTTAGTAATTTTGTTTTTGGCTCATTGGAAAGTTTTCTTTTGAATAAACATACATAAGAGAAAATATGGTAAATGAATGTTTCTGGAAACGTTGAAATAAAAATCTGAATACAGTGATTATTTTTTTAAAAAAGTATTTTTATAATTTAAAAAAATTCGTAAACATAAAAAAGTAGTAAATTTTGGAAAATTGTAGGTTTAAATATTTCGAAAGTCTAAACAACTACAGTTGTTGTTTTTTAATTTAACCGTTTTTCTATCTTTTATACTTTTCGTAAACCTAATACATCTATTAGCAATTTATTCACTGTTTGCTACTTTTAAAATCTTTAGGAATGGGTCACTGCTACCGAAATAAGGATTACCTTGAATCGCTTAAACACATTTGGAGACGAACTATTTGGAGACCGACTAGTGCTACGTTCTTATTTCTATGCTATCGCAGATATAGCCGTGGGTGCTAGATGTAAATGTAATGGTCATGCTTCAGAATGCATCACTGTTCCTGATGGCTATGGGTCAAAAAAAAGGATTTGTAAGTGTGAACACAATACGGCAGGGCCAGATTGTAATGAATGTCTACCATTTTACAACGATGTCCCTTGGGGAAGAGCGAACGCTCAGAACGCACATGAATGTAAACGTAAGTACAATATTTATTATATATTTTAAAATTATTTATTTCTGATCGCATAACTTTTTTTTCTGGAATATGGGATAGGTTGAGGTCTCCAGAGATTCCTGAAGTGCTGAAAGCAATTCAGACCTATTGCTCCACACCATTTGTTTATTCGTTTATCAGATTTGTTCTTTCAGCACAGTTCAACAGCGTGTCATGATCGATATTTCTCTCAATTCCTTCAGACTTAGTAAAGGCTTTTCAAGGAGGAACCTCAAGCATACAAAACCCTCATATTCACTCAGAATATACAAGTACAACGCGAGTTTTTGTCCATAATTGCAGCCCCAGCAGATTGAATTTACAACTTATTTAATATTGTAAAAATGCTTCTGTAATCAATCGACTGACTTGCGATTTCTCAAAGCCTAAATTTACCTACAACAAGGAGTAACAAAAAAAATGGGCTGGGCCGCGAAATAGACCAGTGTATCCAATAGTATTTTGGCCTTTGAATTAGAATCTAAAGTCAGAACTTCCGAATTGGTTCGTGTTTTAATCCTAGCGTCAGGAAATTCCTATAGAAAGCGATTTTCGAGATTTATTTTTTAAACTGACTTGAGTAGTCTGATTAAAAAATATTAAAATTCATGATCCATTGCATTATAACCATATAATTCCGTAGCTTCATAATTCCTGGCAGTTTTCCATAACTGCTTAACCCCTTTACAACATAAACACATAGTGTGCCAGGCTGTATTATAACTACGAAACTCTGAGGAATTGAGTCTGTTTTAACTCCCTTACACAGAACATACAAACTTCTGTAGACTCATGATCTGAGGCATATAAATTTGTGTTACTAAATTACTCGCGATTTTTTCGCTTTGTATTTTCATTGAAAACATGTATATTGAATGTACAGTCAGTAACTGGTTAGCCAAAATTATACAGTCTTGGATTTCTTATGTATGAGGTCTATGTTTCCTCAGAGTGGTTATACATCCTCCTACACTCCGAGCTATGAGGTTAGCGGCTACGAGATTACTAAGTTATGATGTTAGAGTTATTGGGTTATGCTGCGACAAGTTCATGAATTACAATATTCTTCCATTGATTAACTACTCAAGTTAACCGCTCTCTAGAGGAGATTCTTGACGGTCAAAACACGAACCTGTCCATGAGTCCTAACTTCATACCTAGATTCTGTTACAACGGATCCAAACATTACAGGATACACTTGATTGATCTACGCACTGACCCACTTTTGTTTTGTGGCGATATGTAATCAGTATTTCATTCGTTCGCTTCCAGGAACATTCAATATTTCCTTCCCTTGACTTTGTTCTAAATCTTGAGCCTCAGTATTAACAATGTCAATTTTTTTCTCTTATACCCAAAGCCTGCTTTGTGACACTGTAAGCCGCTAGCTATGATTCTAGGAAAATGGCTTCAGATTCCGTTTTTTCGCAATTTCACTTCTTCCTGTCTTATGTACTTTATTGTAGCCTGACTATCTCCGAATTTATGGAAGGGTCAAACTCGCCCTTAGAGCAAAAATTTCATACTCATTTTAGAGTCGTCGTAAAATGTACAACATTTTTTTTTTCACTACAATTTATGTCGACTCCCATATTCTTGGTTCTTTATTCAAAAGTTCAACTTGACAGTAATATTCATGATCTTGAAGTGATTCCTAATCCGATAAGTTGTCATTCTTGTTTATCTTTTCATCACAATATGAAGTGGTGGCAGATTTAGCAAGATATCCAAGGTTGACCATTTGTTATATCCATACAGATCAATCTCTGATTGGTTTAGTTTTTCTCTTGTAGTGGTATGTTTGACTTTAGACCACCAGACCACTGCTCTATAAAGAAGCCTAGATATCACTATCTTGAGCTAACGTAATATCCTCGGTACTTTTCAGTTTTTGTTATTAATTGCCGACTATTAATTAACTACATTTCTCAAACCTTTCATCTAATGTCAATGTAGATACTTAAACTCACTGGAAAATTTAATATTTTTCCACTTATTTTGAGTATCCCATTCAGGTTTCTGATATTGGTGAAAGGTACCGCGATTGTCTTATGCAGATTAATCAACAGCGTTTTCCTCCTGCACCACCCATTTAGTAAAAGCAGAACTCTTTGTATAGGCTCTGATAATACTGTTACATTTACAAAATACTAGAAAAGTCGTTCCCATAGATGTGGGAATAAAAATTTTCCTTATTCCGGATTTCCGATGCACCATCTAGGTACAACTAAACCCCACAAGAGGATGAAAGTACCCCCCCCCCTGCTCTGTATTGATTACAAATTAAATCATTCCAAGACTTATTTGCAACCACAATTTAATGTGTCTGCAATTTGTTGTAAAATATTGTTGACTTCCAAAATGTCAACAATTAACTGATCTGTTTTTATTGTCGTGCGTGGGGTACGTTTTTTTTTCATCCCCCAGAACTCGGCTAAATCACAAGAATCTTATAAATTTTTTAATAAAATATAAACAAATACTAATCCAGCAATCGAGGTTATATTATCACAAATCGACGTCTTTTACCCATAGATAAATAAAAATATATTCTATGCTTTTACCTTACTGCTAACTTATACATAATACCAGTTGGAGTTATTATTTGTAGCGGTAGGGTTAAAATTAATATTTTAACGGGATGGTTAATTTTAACCTATAAGATACAGAATACAGCTGATTATCCGTTATTTTCTTTTCTTTTGAAGTAGGTGCTTATAAAGCCTTACAGTTATTAAAATTCAACGCTTTCCAAAAAAATCTATTATCCTAACTTGATAGAATACAAGTATAAACAAATGAAAAATATTGGAATAAGTCGACTATTATTTTGATGGGATAAATATTGAGGCACATTATGTAAACATGTTTGAATAGCACTTTATTTGAACGATATTTTCTCAAGATTCAGCGATGTGTTCAGTTTTTAATTCCGGTTATTAGTTCTTCCAAAATTTACTGAAAATATCACATGCACTGCACAGATTAATACACATCTGGTACGGTCATGGTTTAATATGGTGTCGCCGGAAGCGTAGAAAGTCAACTTTTTTCAGAGAAATTTATAGCTTTATAAAATTATCATGTCTGTTACCAAGTTTGCTGTCAACTAGTAGACTAATTATATTCATATATAATATCATTTCTTATTAATTAAAGTAAACTAATGATTAAGAATGATAAACTATTTCGAGTGCACGAAACAGCAATTAATGTTAATTAAAAGGGTATATACCGAATTAAATTTATTGAATTCTAGTGAGTAATTAATGGTGAGATAAAAGAGAACAATTAGCGTACAGTTCAGTCTTGTACAATCGATATTGTTACTTATTCTCCAAGCTGTATGAGTAGGTACGTTCACCTTTCTCTTTGTGGCAATTAAACGGCACTACATTTTATCAACAGTGTTTGTTGGTAGGTATGTACTAAAATTCCTATCTACTTAATTATATAGGCATTACAATGAGTATTATATGCATAAAGGTAACACTAACAACTAGAAGAGATAGAAGAAAAAGGAATATTATTGGCTCAAGGAGTAGTACGCCTAATGCTTAACGGTATACAGGGTGTTTTTGAATGGAGTAGCATAAATGATACCAGTGAATCTACATTTCAAAAGAACACGATTTGCAAAAAATCGCCTTAGTAAAATGTTCACCCCTGAAGAAATATGGGCCATCAGTTTCCAAAAAAATTATGGAAATTGGTTGTAATTTGAAAACCGAACGAGGTACAAATAACAAATTTTTTACAGGTTGTTTACTAATACAGATGCGAGTTTTTAACTATTTTTCGAAAATTTTAACCCCTCGAAACGGGTTGAAATAACCACCCCTCAAGCCATTTTTTGCCATAACTTTTATATTTCGTAAAAACTCTATATCCAAAAGTACGCATTAGATAAACTGGTTCTTTTAGAAACTTTTACCTCTCTAGCAATTTTCCTTTAAAACTTTTCGTTTATTAATAAAAAAATAAAATGTATTACCATTCACCTCACACCGTATATGATTGCAATCAATCAAAGAAAAACTAAGTGTGCTGCTGTATGCCAGTTGTCACAATTAACTCTTCTGTAGGTTGTCACTGTTATCAGCTAAATACTTTTTGGGTGTAAATTAACAAGAATTATGCCAAATTTTACTAATGAAGAATATGTGGACATGCTACAAGTGTATTTTGAACGTCGCAAAAACTGTGCTGCGGCAACAAGAGCGTATAATGAGAGATAAACAGACAAACTTTTTCTGCGGTAGAACTGGAAAAATACAGCCGCATATTGAGGGTACCGGCCGAAGACCTACTGTTCGTACTATTTATCTTGAGGATGCAGTACTTGAAGAGTTTGACGAAAATCGTCAGACTAGTACGAGAAAAACTCCAATGCACTTACTTAAATGTGCCCCATAGTGTTTGGAATATTGTCCATGATAATTTATTATATCCTTTTCACCACCAGTTCAAGCTCTACTTGAACCAGACATGCAATAATTTGAATTTTGCCTCAAAGATACTTTTCACAGATGAAGCAACTTTTTGGCGATTTTTTGCAAATCGTGTTCTTTTGAAATGTAGATTCACTGGTATCATTTATGCTACTCCATTCAAAAACACCCTGTATAATATGATCCACAATTCTTTTTTATCACGATTCGTCCGTATACTTATTTACGTGTTCATTAGAGGAAGAAGCGATGTTACATATTTTTATTAAATTAAATCTAGTTAAAGTTAACTGAACAGCGGAGGCTAACCGTCGTTGCCCTTCGTAAGCATTCGGAACAAGATAGAATTCTGCTTAAATTTAAATTGCTTGTGGTATAATTTTGTTGCTTTATTTATTTTGGATTAATTTAATATGTCTAACACCAACACTGCTTAAAATAGTAACACACAGTTGTTTGTAAAACATTGAAACGTTTTTACAAAAATATTTCATATCAAACAGATTAGTAATAATTTTTAATTATTTTTTA